ATATATATATATATATATATACCTTGTGTTTAGAGTGCATGAAAAAATTAAAACTCACCTGGAAGAAAACATGAATGTTTTTAGTCCTATTTAGAACATGAGGGAGTGGTGCACTTCAGCCTCTTGTGGCCAAAAGGAGTATTACAACAGCTATCACTTTTAAAAAAAAAACTTTTTTTCTCTGTTTCACAGTTGGAAAAATTTTTTTAAGGAATTTAGAAAGATTATCCTGTCAAAACATTTTTAAACACAGGACAGAAAACAATTTAGATCAGACTTAGAAAATGAATCACCCTAACTGTTTTTCCTCATTTGCCTCTCAGGGCCTCCGTACTGAGCACACTAATTTGAAGAACGTATTTACAGCAAAACAGGATCATGTGGCGTCTCCATCATCACCACAACACATCCCGTGAAATTCAGACACACAATCAGAAACAGTGAGCATTTTTGTCATCTGAGTATTTATTCTGTCAATTCATAAACTGAACACAGTTTAATACTCTTAAATCAAATACTGGACAGAATCTTTGGAAAAATCCCACAGCTTAATTCTAAAAAAATACATTCATAAAATAGAAAAAAAATCCTTCTCATTTATATTGACACATTAGCCCTAATGTATGACCATTTAAGTAAATATTAAATAAATAAATACATAAATAAATGTGCCTGTAAAATTAATAAATATGGCTATGAAATCCTAAAATAAATTAATAAGGCAATAAAATAATAATAATTATCAATAAAAGTAGTCCTTTCAAAAATGGCCTTTAAAAAATAAAAATAAAAACCTATTTATTTATTCAATTATATTGACTCGTTTATGTATTTACATTTATTTATATATATATTATTACCTCATATTTACTTTTCAGGATGATTTCATACCCATATCATTCATTTATGTATTTATATATTTAATATTGACTCACATTCCACATGAGTTTGAACTCAGAAGTTATTAACACTACTGTAAGGATCAATTATTGACTGATCAGGACTCACTGGTTGCAAATCCCAAAAGTGTTCCCACACTTTAACAGACTGTCATGACTCTAATATTTCATCTTCTTCTTTTTAATCAAACCTTCCTCCTTCACAAGGAGACGTTAAAGTGTCTGAATAACAGTTATAATGTACCGTCCAACACTGATGACATCACAAAGATCAACACTGATCAATCATTTACATTCATTATTAAAGCTGAAATACAAAATGATCTGCAGCATCAAAATACACCAAAGTTAAAGAACAAAAACTCTTCATTTTATCCCTGAAATACTGTGTGTTATTTTTCCATAAATTCCATGAATTGTTAATTTAGATTAAAAAAATTAGAGTTAGTTTTGTGGGGTTTTATTCTTTGCTTGATTCATGGAGGCTCTGGTTAAAAAGGGGGCGGGGCAGGGGGTGTTAGTGTAATAGTGTTGTTAAAGGATAAATTCACATTTTTAAACAGGAAGATATTCTGTCGTCAACGGTCTCAGTTAGACAATTTAATACATTATCTCTGTATGTGTGTATGCGTGTGTCCTCAGGATGTTGGTAGGACTTTAATCCCGTCCATGTCCAGCTCCACTGAGTGAACACTGAAGTCTCCCAGACCCTAAAAGAAACCAACCAGATTCTGTATTTTTCTGTGTTCTGTTATGAAATGTATTTATTGTATTAATGTTTCACCATAGTAAATGGAGGTGTATGTGATTCTGAGTTTCGTAACTTACCGGTGTGTTGTGGAGGACCTGCAGCACTGCCTGCTGCTGTCGAGGCTCCCGGGTCAGCAGGTAGAGGAAGCCCCCACCTCCGGCCCCAGCCAGGCTCTGACCGAGGACCAGCGGCCTCAGGGCGTCCATCATGGCCCTCACTGACGCCGGCTCACAGCCAGGAGCCATCAGCTTCTTCTGCTGCCACGAGCGGTCAAGACACAGACCCAGTCTGGACAGAGAACCTGAGGGGAGTGGGAGAAAATTCTAGAGAAGGACCTCACACCTCTGATCAGCCAACAAAACTAAATGCACCTTCCACTAACAAATAATTACCACGCTCACTTAGGAGACTGGGAGTGGATACCACTTCATACCTTTGGCACAGCTTGTAACGTGTCATCTTTTGTTATAGAGCATCTTTGGTTGTATTTCTGTATGTGACAGATAACTAAGGATGTCCTGAAAGTGTAGTTTGAACTCTGGTATTAACTTTGTTCTGATGTATTAAAGGGACAGTGTGTAACATTTAGGGGGATTTAGTGGCATCTAGTGGTGAGGACTACAGATTGCAACCAGCTTAAACTTCTACCGGTTAAAATAACTTCAGTGTTCCGTTTCAGATTCAGACAACTTTATTCATCCCACCAGAGCCAATTTGTTTGAACAGCCTGCCTCGCACACATACTATAAAATACAGTAACATGTAGACACATAAACATATAAGAAATAAATCATTGCTCGGGAGGTTTTAAGCCGGGGCTGAATTAGGCTCTGGGACAATCTGTCCGAGAAAATCAGGTCAGCTGAGTCAGTGATCTCTTATTGGTCCCTTCTTAAAACATACTTTTATCCTGATTGTACTAAAATTTTTAAGTTAATTTAAACTGTCTTTTATTTCCTTAGTTTTTATATACCTTAAATACCTAGTGCTTTTTATCAGTTCTTTTAAAAGTTGTTGTTTTTATGTCTTGTCTGTTTTAATTACTGACATGTAAAGCACTTTATAAATAAAGATTATGATCGTTACATGATTGTAGTGTTTTAAACCCTTTGTTAATTTGTTTTTTTTGTGTATGAACCTAGTTCTATTGATTTAATTGTATGGAGCTGGTGTATTTATACACATACAGTACAGGCCAAAAGTTTGGACACACCTTCTCATTCAATGTGTTTTCTTTATTTTCATGACTATTTACATTGTAGATTCTCACTGAAGGCATCAAAACTATGAATGAACACATGTGGAGTTATGTACTTAACAAAAAAAGGTGAAATAACTGAAAACATGTTTTATATTCTAGTTTCTTCAAAATAGCCACCCTTTGCTCTGATTACTGCTTTGCACACTCTTGGCATTCTCTCCATGAGCTTCAAGAGGTAGTCACCTGAAATGGTTTCCACTTCACAGGTGTGCCTTATCAGGGTTAATTAGTGGAATTTCTTGCTTTATCAATGGGGTTGGGACCATCAGTTGTGTTGTGCAGAAGTCAGGTTAATACACAGCCGACAGCCCTATTGGACAACTGTTAAAATTCATATTATGGCAAGAACCAATCAGCTAACTAAAGAAAAACGAGTGGCCATCATTACTTTAAGAAATGAAGGTCAGTCAGTCCGGAAAATTGCAAAAACTTTAAATGTGTCCCCAAGTGGAGTCGCAAAAACCATCAAGCGCTACAACGAAACTGGCACACATGAGGACCGACCCAGGAAAGGAAGACCAAGAGTCACCTCTGCTTCTGAGGATAAGTTCATCCGAGTCACCAGCCTCAGAAATCGCAAGTTAACAGCAGCTCAGATCAGAGACCAGATGAATGCCACACAGAGTTCTAGCAGCAGACCCATCTCTAGAACAACTGTTAAGAGGAGACTGCGCCAATCAGGCCTTCATGGTCAAATAGCTGCTAGGAAACCACTGCTAAGGAGAGGCAACAAGCAGAAGAGATTTGTTTGGGCCAAGAAACACAAGGAATGGACATTAGACCAGTGGAAATCTGTGCTTTGGTCTGATGAGTCCAAATTTGAGATCTTTGGTTCCAACCGCCGTGTCTTTGTGAGACGCAGAAAAGGTGAACGGATGGATTCCACATGCCTGGTTCCCACTGTGAAGCATGGAGGAGGAGGTGTGATGGTGTGGGGGTGTTTTGCTGGTGACACTGTTGGGGATTTATTCAAAATTGAAGGCACACTGAACCAGCATGGCTACCACAGCATCCTGCAGCGACATGCCATCCCATCCGGTTTGCGTTTAGTTGGACGATCATTTATTTTTCAACAGGACAATGACCCCAAACACACCTCCAGGCTGTGTAAGGGCTATTTGACCAAGAAGGAGAGTGATGGAGTGCTGCGGCAGATGACCTGGCCTCCACAGTCACCGGACCTGAACCCAATCGAGATGGTTTGGGGTGAGCTGGACCGCAGAGTGAAGGCAAAGGGGCCAACAAGTGCTAAACACCTCTGGGAACTCCTTCAAGACTGTTGGAAAACCATTTCAGGTGACTACCTCTTGAAGCTCATGGAGAGAATGCCAAGAGTGTGCAAAGCAGTAATCAGAGCAAAGGGTGGCTATTTTGAAGAAACTAGAATATAAAACATGTTTTCAGTTATTTCACCTTTTTTGTTAAGTACATAACTCCACATGTGTTCATTCATAGTTTTGATGCCTTCAGTGAGAATCTACAATGTAAATAGTCATGAAAATAAAGAAAACGCATTGAATGAGAAGGTGTGTCCAAACTTTTGGCCTGTACTGTATATATAAACCCTGTTGTGGTAAAGGCTCTCACCGTCTGAACAGGCTTTAGCACATTCCTCTGAGTTGGCCACCAGCTGCTGGGCGTTCTGGACCATCGACGGCAAACGGCTGTACCAGCTACGAACTACATCCTGTAGACAAAACCACAATCATCAGTTCATACATTAGTATTATAAAATAGCTGCTTAAATATCAGATGTTTTTAGTCGGCATGCTGACTGGTCTGAGTACTCCAGTGTGAACACAATACACACTTAAAACCTTGTTGTAATCAGCGTGCAGTCTAGTTTTATTTTGGAGTCAAAATAAAAGACTCCATGTGGACACAGACAGTGAGACTACAGACTGATAGACAGACGGACGGACCTGCAGCAGGTTGCGAGCCAGGCGAGTTTTTCCGGTGTACACCAGCAGGAGGTGCTGCTCCAGAGAAACCAGGAAGTCCTCTGGAAGACTGAGATGTTCCACCTCCACCTGCAGCGGCAGAGATGCTCTGGAGCGTCCCACCTTGATTCCACCCACCAGACCTCCCACCTGATCCTGCCAGCCTCCACCTGCAGTAGAAGTTTAGCCAATCAGAGAGAGGCAGCAGATGAGGTTTTGTCTCAGGACATGATCTAATAACTAAAGATGTACCTGTGGTGAGAATCTGCTCCAGGTAGAGGACAGCGTGGATGAGAGAGTCTGTGTCGTAGGTTTGACCGGTGCACCTGTAGACTGCGGCTAACAGCGCCCCCGCCAGGATACTGCTGGTACCTGCAGGACAAGAACGGATCAACCTCTGACCTCCTGATGTTTTCCTTTTATTATGATGACCCCTGATAGACATTTAGACTCAAGATCAATTACATCATAATGTTACCAAAAAAAACTGTAGCTGAACTATCTTAACTGTTACAAAAGAAAATATTTATGGTTTCAAATCTGTTCTGAAATGTGATGACATTTAAATAAATGTCTTTCTCTCAAGTCAGAAACATGATAAACACAAAATCACTTTAATTTTTTTTTTTATATTTATTTCTTCATAGTTTCAAAGCAACAGTGTGTGGTTTGTCTGTTCAGGGCTACTGTAGAAACATGGCGGTGCAACATGGCAATCTCCACAGATGAGGACCAGCTCCCTATGTAGACATAAATGGCTCATTAAAAGGTAACGAAAACACAGCGATTCTAATTTTCAGGTGATTATACACTAAAGACACATACTTGTTATATTACATTCCATATCTGCCAATATATCCCCCTAAATCCTACACACTGGACATTTAAAAGTGTGACAGTTAATGTTTCTTACCCAGTCCAGATCCAGTGGGCAGCACCGACCAGCTGTGGAGCTCCACCCCTCCTTCCCACCCCTGCATCAGCTGATCCCCCAGAGCATGCTGGGAGGAGAGAGACACCAAACCACTGCACACACACACTGCCTTCAGCAGCGCTCCTGTAACACACACATACACACACCCATATATGAGCATGAACACACAGGAAAACTTCCTCTGAACCTGTTGTAGTCCTTTAATCTGTACCAGGTGCGTGAGGCTGACAGTAGTCCCTCAGGTCATCCAGGCTGTCACAAACCGTCTCCGTGGAAACCCCACTGTCACGCCCTCCAGTGTGGCTGACCAGCACGAGGCGGGGCTCTCTGATGCGTCGAGCCCGGGCACCAATAGGACGCTTCCCATCAACTTTCACTGCGACGTTGGTCACAGAGCCGCCGTGCTCAAAGGCAATGGGCGGCGTGTCGCTCCAGCCACCTGAAACATGAAGATGCTGCTGAGTTTACAACAGGTGAAGGATGTGATTACAGTGTTTAACTACTCGTCAGTGGAAACAGTTACACTGTAAATCAACTGGAGCGTTCAAGAGCTGATATCTGATCAGGAAAGTCGAGATGAAAGACAAAAAGACGAAAAACGAACTACAAAAAATCCTTCAAAATATACTTCTGGTGGTATATAATATATACCAGTGGTTCCTAACTGGTCCCGCCACGGGGTCCAGGTTGTTCCTTAGTTCAAGGTCCACACAGATTTATACACTCAGCTCCATATTTGTGTTTGGCCATGTCATCAAGCTTGCTGTCTCTGTGGGGTAGCTGTTTGTTGGTCACTAACTCTACAGAAGGAAACAGCACCTCAAAATAACTGCATTATTTTTTTGCATAACTGCAAATAAACTGCAGTGCACAAACACCAAAGATATGTTTAAGGTAATTTAAAAAACTACAAAGGTATTCACATCCATCACTTATGTAAAAGCACCAAACCACACTGGACCTTTAAATAGAATGAAATTATTATTTTCCATAGACTCACCTGCCAGGTCAAGTCTGGCTGGACACTCCACTTCCTGCCACTCCTCAAGGGGCGGGACCTCACCTTGGCCAATGGAGATAAACCTCTGCGATGACATCACAGCTTGTCGTAGGAGCACCTGTCCAGCACCTTCGTAGTGCCGCGCTGCCCGAACCAGCAGGTCGGGCCTGTAGGGGGCAGTCACAGTAAAACACAGGTCATCTAACATCATTAAAGTCCTGACAGAAAACCAGGTGAGTGTGACGCTCACCTGCTCAGCCAATGAGCTCTCTGCATAGCCAGGGCGTTGACCCCGCCCCTCAGGTCACCCTCCTCTAACAGGAGGTAGGCGGAGCTCCAGGCCTCGTTAGCAGCCGGCCCGCTCCTCAGGCCTCCCTTTCCCCCCGCCATGCAAACCAACACATCAGCAATACAGGAGAGGCAGCGAGCGGCCACACCCAGCTCTGCACCTGACCCCACTCCTGACTCCGCCTCCTGCGTCCTGCTACCTGCTGCAACTGGAAGAAAAGAGGAGAAACAAGAAGTTAATCAAATAAATAAACACAAAATAAAGTTCAAAAACAGATTTCTGAGTAAATAAAATAGAAGATAAAATTATGAATAGTAATAAAACATGGCATGAACATAACAGAAGTATTTTTTTGTATATTTGTTTTGAAAACTTTAAATAAAGTTGATCATTATTGTTGTTAATGTTGTGACTCACTGCTGTCGAGTGTCTCCAGCAGCGCCCCCTGTTGGCCTCCCAGCACCGCAGCCCTGAAGCAAGGCAGGAGGCAGACATCTGAGCGACTCCTCATAGCATCCATCACTCTCCTCCTCCCTGCCAGGAACAGTAACTCCTCCCTCCACCGCAGCTCCGCCTCCTGGCAGGTGAGCGACATCACCTCCTTCAGAGAGAGCCTCCACGCCTCCCTCCACCTCCGCAGGCAGCCGGCACCACCCAGCAGCCAGCCGACACCTCCCTCCAGACCCACAGCACCGTCTCTGGGGTGGAGGACGGGGAAGAGTCGGGCCTCCAGGAGGGAGCGCTGTTCTCCTCTCACCCACAACTCCTCCGGCCTGAGAGGAGAGGAGAGGAGAGGAGAGGAGAGGAGAGGAGAGGAGAGGAGAGGAGAGGAGAGAGGACATGT